TTCAACAATCAAAAATATTCAAAAGTGGAAGTATAACTCAAATTATTTATTTTTATTGTTTACTGTTTTTGCATTTCTATTTGTAGGCATTGCAATTGAATTGCACCGTTTCGCATCAGTGCACGCTTTGGAATGCTACATTTGTATAGCTGTGACGTCACAGCAGCGCCAACGGGTGTTAAGCAATAATAACAGACACTACTCGCCCGTATAAATATTTGTTTGTATAAAGCAAAGAGAGCACAAACTTAAAAGAAAATCATAAGTGAGTTGGAAAAATTCGCTTCACTGCTTTTCTTTGCACATTCCCACACTTTAGGGTGTGTAATCACGATTATTTCAATTTGTTATGTTTTAATTATATTCGCTTCCGTTTGACAGCCATAGAGATTTTATATATATGTTTATTTTTAAAATTTCAAGTGCTTATATATGTATATCCATACATACATGCAAAGATGCAGGCGAGTGTGWGTATGTTATATTAATTGCAAAGTCATACTAGGGTGCCGCAACATGTTTGCAGTTTAACTAAGAGTTGCTTCCAATTCGAGAAGGTCGGACTAACATCACAGATCCTTACTACTTTAACTAAGAAAACCATAAAGATCAAAGCTTGGTTTAAGGTAAGTTCAGGTCGAAGAATTGTATAAAAATAGATCCGGGCTGGTTTTTACTTTACGGACAAAGTTTCTTGAAAAATTAAAACTATAAAATGGTTCATGTAGAGGTACTTTTTTAAATAGCTTTTTTTGAGTTTTTAACCTTCAATGGCGACCGTTATCACACSATGATAACCGACTAGTYGATGCCTGAAATTGAARCTCTGAATCTCGATGACATTTCATGTCAACAAGACCGCGCCGCTTTCCAAACACCTCATCAATCACTGAATTTATTGAGAAAACCCTTCAGTGAGCAGATAATTTYACTTTTTAAGTCGGTCGGTTGGGCACCAATATCATGTAGACTTTTTCCTTAAGAGATATCTAAAGTCTAAAGTCTATGCGACAATTCCGCTTCGATTCAAGCCTTGAAGCAAAACAGCATGCGTGTCATTCGCCAGTTACCAGTCGAATTGCTTGAACGAGTCATCSATAAAAGAGATAATTTTCAAAAAATAAATGCCAACGGACAGTACCTCAGTAACAAATATCTATCTTCACGAAATTGCCCAAAGCTAAATTGTTTAGATCGGACCACTATAGTATCACCATACAAACTGATCGACTGGTAAGTTACGGTCGTATTTCGGACATAAAAAGGTTAGGATACACAAAACTTCGTGAAAAGTAATGTTTTTTTATAAAATAAATTTAAAAATAAAAATTAAAAACAAAAATCAAGAAAAGTAAGAAAGGCACCTACGAAAGGTATTAGAGCTTCGGCGTAGTCGCATTTAAAGGTTTTTCTTGTTTTTAKCTAAATTTAAACATTTACGTTTATTTGTGAGCGCAAGTCAACAACTAATTAACCTACCCTCGTGTGTGCTCTTTTTAATTGTTGAATTAGTTAAATTTTGCTGAAAAAATGCAGCTTTCTTTGTTGCGAATTTTTAATTAGTATTAATTATATAAAAATTTACTAACTAACTAGCTTTACGCATGTATGCACATACATATAWAACTATATACATAAATATGTAAATGTGTGTATGCTTTCTATGTAAGCATTCACTATTAGGTGTTTTTGCTTTTGTTATTTTTGTTTCGTGATTTTTATATTGTTTTGCTATATATTTATTTAGTAACTGCGATCGCTTTGGTTTTAGCCACGTTTTCACACTTCGTTTCGGGTTTTGGTCAAAGTGGACCGCTTAAGGTGAATACAAAATTGCCAATTTTCAAACGCAACTACCTGTCTGCTTTAAATATTATATACAAAGTTAAATGCTAACAGCTTTATTATCAACTCACTTTGCTTGATCGCCAATACTAACAAAAAGGTCGACGTTTTAGCAGGCACTGGTTGAAAAATTTACACACACACCCACAAAGAAATAAAAATAAATGATTATATATACATGTATAATTGCATATATTTATATTTATTTTATTTCTTTTCTCATATAATTTATCAAAAATTGTATTCACAGAAATCGTTCACTTGCAAAAGTGGCAAACAGTTCGCCRCAAACAATAAACAGACAGAAACTGACTAATAATCCGCAAACGCCGCTCAATTGGCACGAGTGTAAATACCGCAAGCTGCTGCTGCTTGTTAGCTATGTATGAGTGGTCTTTGGCTTTCATTTCTCCCTTCCATTTCACGAAGATCGCCACAAGTGTTTGTTGCGTAGGGCATTTGATTTTATATATTTATATACAAAAGTGTGTGTGTTTCATTGTTACAGAGCAAAGCTTTAATGCAAAGTCGAGCGCAAGCGATAATTACTCGCTTGATTTTGTCAACTGCTTTGATAAGTGAACGCATTTTGCGAATATCTCTTGGTCACTGCGACAGGCAGTGCGAAGAAAATTTTAGCAATAGTACGCATGAGAAATGTGGTGTGCTTTTAGACGCATATTGCGGAAGTTTAATATTAGTGGAGGAATTACTTGCTTATAAGCACTGTTCTTTATTATTCTAACAAGAATTATGTTTTTATATAGAAAATAATAAATTTATTTCATTTTAGTTACTTCCATAGTTCATCAGTTGATATTTTGTGGTTATAACGCCATTTTATTTAACCTTTGGAGAATCGCAATTAAGTAGAAGTTAAACCTATTAGGTCAGTACAGAGCTTTTGAAAATGTTAAAAAGTGGAAAAAATTATGGTGGATAAAGCTCACCAAAATTAAACAAAAACAATATATTTTGAAGTGAGAATTTTCGATTGAAAAATAATAAATATCAAAAAAAGCTACAGTCGTATTTGGACATAAAACCGATAATTCACCCAAAATTTCATGAAATATAATGTTTTTTTGTGTAAAATATAAATCAAAACTAAAACCATGGTTATATAAAATTTTCGTTTGAATTTTGCGGTTATGCGAAAAAGGTGCTTACACAATTGTTTCAGAACTTTTTATTGTTTTAGAAAAAATCCAGATAAAAAGTGTTCATACAATTGTTTCAGAACTTTTTATTGTTTTGCCAAAAATCCAGATAAGGCATTGTAAGTCTTAAAAGTGCAACCACTCTTCCCCCCTTCCTCTTATCGACCACAGACCCCCCGTAAACTATTATTATTTTTTTTAGTTTTTGTTGTTATATTAATTTTTTCTAATAGGTGTGTTYCACAAAATTAATTACAATTTCTATTAAATTTTATATTTTGAAAAAAAGTCCTCCCAAAAAATTTTAATTAATTTTTATTTAAAGTTTAATCAATAATATGCTCTGGACATTTATAATTACTTATGCAATTATCTTTATAGAAAGTAAGTTTTAATTTGCAACTATTTTTATCTAATAATTTCCAACAAACTTTCCAAGCAACCCAATCAGAGCATTTTATATGTAAATGTATATAATGAAAAGTGTTTTATTTCCATACATTCGCACAGGTACGCCATTGCAACGGCAACCCTGGATAACAGATGTATATGAAATGCAACAATCGGAATGGAACACTAAGAAAATTTGGAAAATGCAAAGCAAGTGTATAATAAAGCAAAATCAAGTAAAGAGCAGCTGGTATCCGATTTATAGTTAAGTTAGCGCAGAAAGTTAAAAAAATATATAAAAACGTTGAAGTGAAATTTTTTAAGAAGTGTAAGTAAGGTTATATAGCAGCTGGKGTTAAAATGTGTGGAGGTTTTACTTGTTCGAAGAATGCGCTAATTGCGCTGAATATTTTGTATGTGGTAAGTACATACTGAGGACTTTTCTTTGGCCTTCTGTCACAATGGGGCATTACCCTCAGTGTCATGATTTTGTGCATGCACGGAAGTACCCAAGAAAATCCTTAAACGAGTTATTGATTTTAAAATATTCACCTGTGTGCATATGATTATGTTTGCAGATGGTTGGATTCCTGTTAATTGGCGTTGGCGTCTATGCGCGTGCAGCTTCCATTGTCACAAATCTGCCAATTGTGGGTGGTATTTTAGCCTGTGGCGTGATATTGATATTAATATCAATTCTCGGACTGGTCGGTGCTGTGAAGCATCATCAAGTCATGCTGTTTTTCGTATCCTTTTAAAAAATATCAGTAAAGATATCGCAAAAGTTTTAAAAGAAAGAAGAGAAAGCTCGTCGTTGAATATCACTGTGATAAAAAGATTAGTTATATTTATATACTAAGATAATGAAGAGTACAGTATTTGTTTATCACCAACTTAAAGTCCTTAATATTTTTTTAGTGGTAATTTATAGAATTTAAAAGCAAAGTAACTAAAATACTCCATGTGTGAATAAAATAAACAAACTGGTTCAGTCTCTTCAAATTTGTATACAAAAATTAATTTACATTCATAATTGAAACCATATTTAGTACGTTTCCGTCTGCGATAATGATATCATTCGTTGTTGAAGAGGCTATCGCTTCGATTGACCTTAAGTGCATGGAGGCATATTTAATTCAAATATTGAAGCTCATATTTATTTGCTTTAACGCAATTTAATTAAGGCAATTGAGTTGTTAATACAAAAGCTAATGTGTTGCGAAAGAGAATTCATTGACTAAATAATGCCATACATTTTATTCTTGTTTTCCTTAATTTGAAATTGTTTTAAAATGCACAGTACATGATCATTCTCTTYATGCTCTTCCTCATTCAATTCTCCATTGCCAGCTCTTGCTTGGCTGTCAATTCGGAGCAGCAAAAAGAGTTCGCTGAGGAGGGTTGGAATAATGTACCAGATTCAATGCGCATGCAAGTTCAGGATACATTTACTTGCTGTGGCTTTAATTCGACACACACAGGCACATCATGCGAAGCAGTCACCAAGAAATGTTGTCCAGATTATGTGGACAATTGCGCTTGCCYACCATGTCTACCCGCTTTGGAGGATAAGATCAGTTATGCATTTAAATTGTGCGGCGGTTTGGGTATTTTCTTCAGTTTCACTGAGGTAAGCATGCATTTCCTTTTATTTTCATCAAACTTATTTGTGTGATTGTATATTAACGAATTCATATTAATTCTTTTATTTGGACATGCAAACATGCAGTTCATTGGTGTATGGCTAACAGTTCGTTATCGCAATCAGAAAGATCCTCGTGGTTTGCCGAGTGCATTTCTATAAAATGCCTTGTGCTGCAAGCAATTAAACAACTAATAATACATATTTAAACAATATATATATCATACTAATACGCATTCATACATGACTCAGCCATACTACATTCCTTAAAAAAATAAACAAAAAAAAAAAAAAAATCTTACCAACGCCATTGGTTTTCAAGTAGTTATATATATTAAAAACATACATACATACCTACATACAATCATAACTGTTTACGAAACTGATTCATATACATACATACATATATGTACATATAGTTATAAATATATATATATACATAAAGTAAACTACCCACATAATATGAAACATATTTAACGATAACTTACGCATTTTAAACATAACACAAATGTTTGCCGCAATTTTGGCGTCTTTTTTAWTAACTGCAAAGTAATATCATAAAACTGCGATTTGGTCACATAAGCCAGGTATCAAATGTATATTTATTGTACCGCCGTTGCCGCTGATCTCATTAGTACCGTTATTGGATTGGGCATGCAATTAATAACACCACCTTAGTATACACCAAAATTTACAATATATATGCACTTTAACAGCAGTTTCAAGTGGATTATACAGCTGAGTTTGCACCACCATCATCAATATTAACATACCCATATGAGTGTTGTACTTAAATACTAGGGTGAGCAATCGTTGTACTACTTTACAACTTTCAGTATGTTCTTTGGTATTTATTTCATAATTTTCTATTRTGATGGTCAATTTTATTTTCGGTTTCTATGCTCTTCTATTGCGCTTTTGTTATCGTAAATCGTTTAGCACGTAGCTTTTTCGAWTTCTGTTGACTAATTGTTATTGTATTATTTAAAAAAATACAAAGGCTGTAATTATTTTCCTCTATGGTAGTTATTGATTCCAAATATTTAAAACTAGGATTTGTTTGGCGCTTTAAAAATTTATTCACCGTTAAGCTAAAATTTCCCTGAAAACTACCCTKCTCGCCAATGACTGCCACCTAAAATGCAGGTTTTACCAAACAAATTAAAAACTGATTTTCATAGAGAATTTAACGGTAACTTGTTCTTTAATATATAGATAACTAATGCTTTTTACGCAACAATTAAAGAAGAAGAAGAAAAAATGTTAAGAAGTCAGTAGGGTAATCTTTTTTCAAACCTTTTTTTTTTTGCATTTTCTGTTCCTTATACCCCTTAGAATTAAAGTAAAAACCAACTTTACCATTGGAATGTTACGAAAAAAGCCTAAAAATAATGATATTGCTCCACGTTCGGAGTGCACACCTGGGGTATCCTTTTTCAGTTCCTCAAATTTTAAACGCGTTTTTTCTCAAAACACCCACWCTAAACTGGCGGAATGATTCCGGTCGAACTATTCCACCGATTAGCTTAAGTTTTTTATTAATGTTCACAAAACGCCTGGCTAAATGTTCCACAGTGTTATTGACAATGTTATGAAAAGTAATAAAAAAAACCTTATCAACATTTTTTTATGATTTTCGGGACCATAACCATTCACGTACTTTTTAAGAATAAATTGGGTTTTTRTGTTTCAGATGATCCAAACATGAGAAATCGTGTCCGCCAGTGAAAAAAACGCATCTCATTCACCCAGCCATTTCTCCGACAGACGTCATCAAAAAATTCCAAAAAAATTTGTTTATACACTACATGGTATACCTCATGATATGTTAAAAAGTTCTATTGTAGAATCAAAATTTCTATGAAGAAAAAAATATCAAAAAACAGGCCAGGTTTCCCTACTGACCCCTTAACTTCGGCTGCACCGATACTAAAATAGCCACACTTATGCATTTCTTATAGCATAAAGGGGTATTAAAAGATATTTATATAAATTTTGATCGGTTGTTGTAGCGGTGAAAAACATTCTTGGAGTGTTTTAATTTCGAGGAATGGTGTCGAGTTTACAGTCCTCGGCCGGATAATAATCCGGGTACGTTTCGGTTACTTAGACCCGACTGCAGTGGGATCGGTCAGTTTAWATTGCAGCTATATGACATAGTGGGCTGACCAGAACCATTTGTTTTCTAARGAAACTCTAGCGTTACCTTAGAAAATAATCCAAGTTAAATTTGGTGAAAACATGCAGTCAAAGAAATAATATTTCCTTACAAGTACCTAGTTCTTATCGATTAGTTTGCATGGCAGCTATATGCTATAATAGTCGGACACTGATCCTTGCCAAATTTCGTGAAGATATTTTGTCAAATAAAACTTTCCAAGCAAGGACTTGTTTTTGATCTCAAAGTTTGTATGGCAGCTATAAGTTATAATGGTCCGATAACGGCGTTTCCGAGATACATATATGTAAGTAGCTTCCTGGGGAGAAAAAGAACGTTTGCRAAATTTCAGATCTATATCTCAAATACTGAGGGATGRGGGATTACTTAAATATGTATGTTTTAATTTCGCATCACTTTTGCACCTTTCGCATTCATCATTTTACTTATTTTAATTTTAATTATATTTCTGCTTTATTCACATGTTTATTATAACTGTAAATGTAAACAGTTTAATTATATTTATACATATTGCATTTATGTTCCAGGTACTGGCAGTCTTCTTGGCGCGTCGCTATCGCAATCAACATGATCCACACTATCTAGAACCGCGCGCAATTTTCCCACACAATTACCAGTATTAGTGAAAAGGCATGAAATCAGTTTGAAAAGAAAGCAGTTAGCGCAAAATATTTACTTAAATTAAGCTTTAATTTGCGCAGACGAGCATAGTTTGGCTTGGAACCGATTGAGTGGAAACGAACAAATCACAAAACATATTATTTTTCGAACATCATTTTTAGTCGCAATTTATTAGTTTGCATTTAAAAAACTCCAATTATTTTTTTATACTTATTTTGGTTGTAATTTTTGTGTTCAATTTTCACTTGCATTCAAGTAGTCAAATTTTGTTTTAATTAAGTTTATATAAACTACATTTGATTCTATAATATTCTAGTGATTTTTAATAACTAATGCAAATTGTCTTTACTTTTGTTTACAATTTGTTTAATTTAGTTGACTCTTTGAGATTATTATTTTTTAAATAAAGTATATAATTTTAATAGCATAGTTGTAATTTTGTGTATAGGTTGCTAAAAAATAAAAATATTACTTGTACACATATACATACATATATAATA